ACTAGTTGGAAATTTTGGTTGATTTGTTCTCGTTAATTGTGTTATAATTAACTTGATCAAAAAATTCCAAATTATACTAGTATATCTAATTTGAGACAAATTGTGTTTTGGTGAATAGTGCTTTGTAGCACTAATGGAAAGTGCAATTTAATTTGGCACTTGGAAGTGCAAATTAAAACACTGTAACAGTGCTATCAAGCACTAGGTAGAGTGCTTAATTAGGCACTTTCGGCCACTTGGTGGCTGCACCTTTAGGTGTTGAAAACTTAAGCATTTGGTGCTTTAGTAATAGCAATAAAGGTGCTAGATTATGATTGGTCCTAATGCTAATCTACTTAGCTTAAACCTTTCGTATAGTATGTGGCTAATTAAATTTAGCGTTGTAAAAGTGTTATGTGATTAGCACGAAAGGAAGTTTGGTTAATTGTGTAATTAACTAATAATCCTAGTACCAGGTAGCACTGTAATTATAAATTAAGCAACGAAAGGTTGTTGTGAGTTTATAATTTAAAGCAATAAAGATTGCTTTGGAATCGATGCGTTAGTTTAGAAGCAATGATTCGTGTTTGGTATAGCATGTTTCATGCTTCACTACTAAGCACTGATTCGTGCTTCAATTTCAGAAGCACTGATTCGGGTTTGTGGCCTTTCGGTCAAAACCGAATGGATTCGTGAGGGCTAATCTGTTAGCACCTACGAGATGTGTTAGCGTGTAACACATGTTTATTCTTTAAAGAATAAAAAGAGAAAAACCAAATTAATCGTGGATTAATGCGGTTACGAACAATCGATGTGGTGAAAAAAAAAGAAACACCTATTGGTGATTTCAGCGCAAGCGTTAGTGTCGTACTCGAGCGTACGGTACGGTATTCACCTCAATCAAACGTTGTTGCCGAACATAAAATATCAAGACGTTGATAAGTTCGGGTCTACCTCAAAGTATGAGGGGTGAGACAATACTTTGGACAAGTAAATACCTTTAAAATAAGGCTGCCCACATGAAATTCTTACGAATTGTGGGTACGTAGAAAGCTTTCCTACTAATGCCCGAAATGTGGGGGTGTCTTGCCAAAGGTGTGTATTGGTTCTTAGTACACGAGTCCAAGAGTTTGGATGTACATAAGAACACGAAAGATTGATTCAAGAAATTCATCGTTCTTGGAAGATGTATTTTTGTGAAGGATCAATAAAGGACCTAGCACGTTGAAAGGAACTTTCAGCGTAGCTATGGTTGAAGGGTGTGAAAGAGAACCCGAGCTCAAAGCTAGACGTAGCAAGAAAGCTAGGATTGAAAAATCCTTTGGTCCATATTTTCTGACGTACATGTTAGAGTGTGATGCGCACAATCTAACTTGTTTACTAGAAAAGAAATTGGATTTTCTGACATGGTTGTTAGAAAACGAGCCTCGAACGCATGTAGAAGTGTTGACTTCTACAGATGGACCAACCCGAGAGAGGCTACCGAGAGTGAAGTAGATTCTATCTTAAAGAATCATACTTGGAACTGGTTGTTCTTCCTCCAGGTCGTAAGACCTCAGGATCCTAAGTGGATCACTAGTTGGAAGATAAAACCGGTTGGTTATATTGAAGTAAAATGGCCGGACTTGTAATTGTAGGTTACATGTAATGCGAGTGCCACGGTTACTTCGATATATATTCTTGTGATGAGAATGGAATCCATTAGAATGATACTTGCCAAAGAGCTGTTTAGCGAGACTTGGAAGTTCATCGAAATGGATGTGTCGCTTTCTTAATAGACATGGAACAACCTGAGGGTTTTGAGGTTCCGCGCTATGGAAAGAAAGTCTGTAATTTGTGAGATCATTGTATGGGTTGAAACAATTGCCTTAGTATTTGGCATGTAGGTTTGATCATACAATGATGTGTCACGAGTTCCGTATAAACAAATGTGATAAATGTCTACGTAATGCGTACGATAGACGAGGTTAGCACTATTTGTCTATACACGATAAACTCAACGTGGGTAGTAATGATCAAATGATCAATTCTACCTTGAACATGTTAAATTTGATATTTGACATGGGGTTGGCAGATTTAATCCTCGGGATTAAAATTGTGAGAAGACTGTATAGTCTCGTGTTGAGCCAATCTCACTGTGTTGATTAAATCCTTGCAAAGGATGTTAATCAAGTGGCTTGGACACCGTTAGATACTAACGTACAACTAGCCAATAATCTCGGAGATTGTACTTCTCACGGAGAATACATTCAGATTATCGGTAGTTTAATTGTATCAAATGGGTTGTACTAGGCCGGATATTGCCTTAGTGGTTAACGAACTCGGTGACATACGAGTAACCCTAGTGTTATGCACTAGAAGGCAATAGTGAAAGTTATGAGATACTCAAGGTATGCTCGTGACGTTGGACTGCACTAAGTGAGATATCTAGCTGTACTTGGAAAATATAGCACGAATATCAAAGGATACTAAGTCCATTAAAGGCTACGTCCTTACGTAGGCCAGTGCAGTCGGTTGGACGGAAATTCTCGAAATGAATTTGTGATAGCTAAGATCCGACGGGATCAAAGCTGAGAGCCTTACACTCGGGTCGCGAGCGAGTAGGCCGAATGGCTATGCCATTATTTCGAGAATGTTCCTAGTGGTGAACTCATACCTCCAATTTGTGTGCATTGCGATAGTCAAGCCAAAATTGGTTAAGTACAGAGTTAAATGTGGAATGGTAAGTCTAGACTTATAAGTCGTAGATATAATACCATTAAACAATTTCTCACAACGGGAGTTATCTCTATTGACTACGTGATGTCAAAAGATAACGTAGCGGCCGCTAACTCGCTAACCCGAGGGTAAGCAAATGGTTGTGGAGAAGTTGGAACGAGGAATGGGTCTAAAGCCCTTGGACTAAAAGTTCTATAGTGGATACCCAACCTAGCTGACACCTAGGTTCAATGGGACAACTAAATTATGGAACGGAGCATGTCACTGTGGGGGTCTCGGACTCCCTACCACTCCTCGTTAGAAACAGTGACTCCCGCGTAAGGTTAGCATGTTGATGCTTTAATGATTCGAATGTCGGTTGACATGTGTGAGTATGCGGGATACTCGGAAAAGAATCACCTATGTGAGAGAGAAGTGAGGGTCGCTTCAAAGGAGAATTGATGGGCGCAATTCTTCACAAACTCTTGCAGAATCAGGACGGTGACCCACGACCAAAATGGGCACACTCATGAGAACAGAGCATGGTTGGGAGGTTCCTGTGTGAGATATGTCATCGTCTACACAAACGGCAGTCGGTTCAAAGACATCGCGTTCTATCGTACAGCCAGTAGAGTAAACATGTCTTCACAAGGGAAGGTTCAAAGGGTATAGTGATCCCTACCTATCCTATGCAGGGATCGACCGTTAAACACAGTTGTTTCCGATTTCAAAATACCCTGAAAATCATTTTTCATTCATGTGGGGGATTGTTGGAAAAAATAGCATTAAAATGATATTTTGAGTGATTATTTTGTGGTACAAATATATGTGGGATCCACTTCCGATTTGGGTCGGGTCAAGGTGGATTCGGGTTCTTCGTAGTGAGACGAAGAATTTGATATAATGTACGCTCAAAATGGGTAATAGGTGAATGAGAAATTGATTCTCAAAGTGAACCTATTTGAGAGAAGTCAAATTAAGCTTAGAAAGCTTAAAGCTTAAAATTAAGCTTAATTAGTGTGACAACATGAGTTGTCAAGCTTGTGATTAAGCTTTGGAAAGCTTAAAATAGTGAAATAGGAATTGGGACGAAAGTTTGCATGTACGAATGTTATGCATGGACGAAAGATGCTACATGTAATTAAGCAAGTTTAATTAGTGAATTAAGCTCCTTTCGTGTGAGCTATCTTTCGTGTTGCACGAGTCAATGCTATGTGCATTGATTCGTGCCACACCGTTTCGGTACTTTGCGGACTATTCGGGTGTGGTTTTCGGTCCCAATTCGTTAACCTTTCGGGTTTGTACGGACTTCTCGGTCACTCAGATATTTGAAACGGGACGTTATGGTCGGTACGAATTAATCGGATATTAAGTTCGTGACCGTTGATATTATTTCGATAATAAGTACGACCGTTTCAAACGTTACAATTCAATTTTTAAATTGAATTTATGTTGGTTAATGCGTCATAATAATGCTATTAAGTACCAACCTCCTATATAAGAGTGTAGTGGGAGTAGAGGTTTTTCACCTGCATAGTAAGAGACAACTAGTGAGGGAAGAACACGAGAGTACACAACACACAAAGATAAGCACTTTTTCTTCTCAAAAATTCTGCTCCTACTCCATTCTTGAAGCTGTGTTTTGCCCGTGCTCTTGTTCGCCGGGTTCGTTCATTTGGGTGCTCAAACGTCGAACCGTTGTACGTTTTATCCTGGGAAACCTAGGCCACAACGCTCCTAGCACTTTTGGGAGGTGGCAAATAAGGTTTTAAGGAAAGACAGGCACCTTGCCTAACTCGTACATTTCCTTCTTCTTCTCTTTCTTTCTTGTTTTAGGATTATGCTCTAAGCAAAAATCTGTTCTTTCTTGTTGATTTGGAGTTATAATCTGAGGATTATAAGTTCCTTTTGGTTGATATATATTGTTATATCTTTCTCGTAGATATATACGTATATATAACCTTTGGATCCGTTTTATATATATTTGTGTGTATATATATATTTCGGATATAAATATCCAATAATATTTTATATACTTGTGTGTGTATATATAAATATTATTTTTTGAGATATTAAATCGATTGTGGTTCATTATCACCAACAAAAAATCCTTATAATGTGAACTGAACATCACACAGTCACCATTAAATTAAATTAAAATTCAAAATGAAATCATATAAGACTAGAATCCACATTACACTGTGGAGTGTGGACCTTGGTCCACGGTATAATAATTATAAGTCATGATTTTTGTAATCAGTCCACCCATCAAATCTTAATTTTCATGTGTGTACACAAAATCAATCTAAACCTTCCATTCTTACCTCAGGCTTTGCAGATAAAGCATCGCCCAGTTGTTTAATCAGCTCTACCGGGCATATATGATCAAACTCTGCACCAAGTATGGCCGTTGGAACCTTCACCTCTACAATTCCATGTTATTATTATATCATAAAACAACATGCATTATATTTTCTCTATGAAAATAATATTCTGATGAAATTAACGCTACTTTTAATCTTTTGCTTTTTTTTAAAAAAAAAAAAAAAAAATTTGTCAAATGATGACTAGTTAAAATATCTTACATGTCCTCATATGGAGAAGGATAAAATCGGTATGTTAGACATTTTATACTCAATTTTCGTAATCCAGGTAAAAATTGAAAATGTTATTATATATATATATATATATATATATATATTTTATTAAAGCATACGCTAAAACTAAAAAAATTAAAAAGAAAAAGAAAGAAGGAGTATATTATAGTGTGAAATAAAAGCTTGAGATAAGAGAGGGAAATAGTGAAATACCTTCAATCTCCTCTACTGAAATTTTACCGGGATGCAAGATAACTGCAGCTCCAATGCAATCTGATTTAGCCAATTTTGCAACCACCATCCCTATAACACATCAACAAAATAACTATTACTCTCAGTATTTCATTTTATTTGTCATACTCACTATTCATGGGATAAATCAACTTTTTCTTTTTTATTTATTTTTTTTAAATTTTTATTTAATTTTAAAATTGATTTTTTTTGTGTTCAATAATACTTTTAGTATAGTTTCTAAATATATAAATTTTGTACACTAACACTAAACTTAATATTATGAAAAATTGAATTAAAAATAACTTCAGTTAAGCCTCGTTAACCGAACCAGACACATAAAATGGGAAGGAGGGAGTACATAATAACAAGATTCATGTATTTTATTTTAAAGAATGTTTCCGAGAATGAGTTAATTTGCATCAGCTATGAGAGAGAAACTCTAAACTATACAATTCAAACTTCTCCAAAAGAGATATTTGAGGTGTTTGGTAAATAGCTATTAATTGATTTAGTGAGTTTGACTAGTTGATACCATTAGCTGATTCTAGAAGATGTTTGATAAATTAGTTGTTTACATACAAAATGACTTTATTAAAAAGTTGATTGAAAAAACAGTTTGAACAACATTTTAAACTTTATTGTTTTGGAGCAATAAATTGTTACAAAAAATTAATTAATCAAACACTCGTATGTTTAACAAGTAAACAACTAATACTGGTCAAACAAGTCAAAATTGGTATGATAAGCTAACTCAAACGGGTTTACTTTGACAATCAATTTTTCATTCACTTATTATATGTTTTAAGCGTACAATATATCGATTTCTTCTTCTTACTTCAAAGAACCCGAATTCACTTTGATCATATCCAAATTAGGAGTGGATCTACTGATATTTATACCACAAAGTAGTCGCTTAAAATGTCATTTTATGCTCTTTTTATTTTTTCAACATTTATGTCTTTTAAAACTATATTCCATTTCTATTCCTTGAACTAACCAAATACTCGAACATTAAAATCTATTCCTTCAGCAAACAAAACAATAAAATATAATTGATGTTCAATTTCTTGGCTATCCCTATGAAATATCATTCTTATTCTCTTAAAATTTATCCCATAAACCAAACATGTTAATTCTATTTTATACGGAGTAACTGTTTATTAATCAAAAGTAATGTAATCGAGTTAACAATTGATTTTTAAGTTAAAATCCTAAATTTGAATCTGTTTCATATGTTACATAAGTCAAGATTGATGTTAGTTAATAATTTGGACAACGATAAAAAAATTGAGAAATTTAATTTGGGTTACCTCCCCAACAAAATCCAGTGGCCCCTACGGAGGAAACTCCCATGTTCTTCAAGGTTTCAACTAATGTTCTCGCATCATCGCATCCTCTGCTCTGAAAGTACGAGGAATAATATTTTTAAAATTTTTGAAAATTAAAAAGAATTAGTTCTAATTTTGATTCTTTAATTGCTGTATTTATGAAGAAAAGGTAAAATACATTCTCGAATTTTATATGAGAAATCAATTAGAGTTGTAAATTTTTTAAAAATTACAACTAGACACATCAAGATATTAATTTAGTGCATCAAAGCTCAACTGGTCACCATCTCAAATGATGGAGAAAGCAACTGGTTTGGTAACCCTTTTTTCAGCGACTTTCTGGTCATGCTGTTGCCGATTTTTCCCAGAAATTGTCAAAAAGTCGTCAGGGCTCCGCCAATTCACTAGTGACCTCTTATTGCATGTCACTAACTAGTTTTTGGGTATAAATATGTTAAATTAATATGTTATTACTTTTAATTACAACTTTTAAAAGTTCAGGAGAGGTTAATTAACTTCTCATCTAAAGTTAGAAGGTGTACTTGAATGTTTTCCTTTATTTATTGATTCACAAATTCAAAATTGATTAGAATTCTTTTAAAACTATTTTGATGGTTTAAAGTAGAGAAATGCAATGGCTTAGAAAATAAAATTAGAATTAAAAAAAATGAAATAAAAGATTTTGGATTAAACTAAATGAGGAAAATGGCAGACCGGTGGATGAGCCGCCAGCCACGACTGAACTGCGGTGGCATATTTTTGGTGGTCAAACGGATCGCCGTAAAACAGATCGGGAACCACCACCAAGAATCCGGCGCCGGCAACCTTGTCCGCGAGCTTCCTTTATGACAGCAATGGAGATCGAACTCAAGATTCCTGATCGAGATCTAATAACTTCTATGAAATTAATTAATTAATTACCTCAAGTTTGGTGCTTCATAACCTGCAAAACAAAACTAATCTTCATCATCTTCTTTCTTCAAAACACAATTCACATCTGTTCTTGCAATACCAATTCATCGTTTATTCTTAAAGATATATAATTCTTTCTATTCTGTTTTATTGTTTGTTTTTTTTTTCTTAATAAATGCAATAAGTAAAAGTCAATATATAGTACATGTACCAAAGATGGTGTATTCTGATAATATCCACTCGAAACTTTAAATAAAGAGTTTCAAGTTCAATTTGTATTGTTCTCAAATATAGCAAGAAATTATGAACTTACCAAAGGCATCAGAAATCATAAGGATGGCAAGCTTGGAATCTTGTGAACCAGAAACATAAGTCTTAATGCCTGCAATCTCTTGTAGGCTCCCAGATCCAGTTGTTGAGCTGAGGGTTGGTGGATTGTTAAAGCACTGTGGTCCTGACATCTCACTATTTCTTCATCACAAAATTTGTACTTTGTTTCCAAGTTAGGCAGGCTAGAAATGGAAGGAATTTGGGATATTACCTCTTCGATCTATTTAACATTCTTTGATAAGGACCCACAAAAATAAAATGACTTTTCGTTTATCAACAGTGATTTCTACCTGTCACGTACGTCACCCCTTAAGACCTTTTTGAAATATTTCATAAAATTGAGCCACAATTTATTTCTGAGTTTTTTTTTGCTACTATTTTGATGGGTATATATGCATAAAGAACTGATCCGTAGAGTGGGTCCATCAAGGAGTTATCCAACCGATCCGTCATAGTCATCGACTCGACGGGACTAAATCACTTGTGATCAATTGTACCAATCGTACCAATAGGCTTTGGGAGTCAAGACAAAAGAAAATGTTTAGCTTTCGGATCACTCTTGGAATCGCCTCGACGGAAAGTTAACCGGTCGAACCGTAGGTTGACCGATCGGCCTACGGTACGGTATGACGCAACCTGCAAGCCGGAAACTTAGCTTACATGACAAGTAATGAAGGTCAACTTGCACTTGCAGAACGGCGATTGACAGCTTGTAGGTAGGGCGGCTCTGTCACCTTGGTCAGTCAACCTACGAGTAGCTGCAGAGTGATCGTCTGACCAAGCCAACGAGAAGACGCCACGTCAAGCCACTTGCAGTAGGTGCATTAAATGCATAGACCGACTTAGTTAGTATAAATACGAGGGTCATCTCCCCCTCACTTCTCATCTTCATCCCATTACAACCACTTTCTACCACTTGTAATTTTCACTCTGTAATAGCAACCTTCTCATAATCCACTCTACAATTGCAATATGTACCATTTGTAGCAACCTGTTCATAAATTGCACTCTACAATTGCAATTTGTACCATTTGTAGCAACCTGCTCATAAATTGCATTCTACAATTGCAATTTGTACCATGTGTAGCAACCTGCTCATAAATTACACTCTACGATTGCAATCTGCACCATTTGTAGCAACCCGCTTGTAACCACTTGATACTTGTAATACTACTCAGTCGCAGATTGCTCAATCGTCACTCGGTAGACCGCCCCCCGATAAACCGATCGACCGACTGACTTACGAGCACTCTCTTCTACTTGTTTGCAAATGTACGTATTTGTACCATAATCGTAATCCCCGGTTCCATTTACGCTATCATTAGCGCCGTCCGTGGGGACCTGAACGAGTCACTCTCTGTCCCATTACCTTTTTCCTTTACATCAAAATCTACCTTGCTTGATCGAAATGACAAACAGTAGGAGGAGTCGGAGCCAGAGCTACGTGTAAGGGAATGCTCAACCCGCCAAGTTGGACATCACCCCGACAATATGGTCGAAACACTCACTAAAGATGATCTACGTCGATAGTTGGACCGATCAAGATGCTTGATGAACGAGCTCACCTCTAACCACACAGGACAAACCATGCAACCTACCCGGCATGATGACCAACCAGCCGGCCAAACTATAGTCCATCTAACCGTCTCGGTACCTCGGAGTGGCATACCTAGTCCAAGCATCCAAGTACCCGTGACATATACCCTGTTATCCTCAACATCGTGCGGGTCAGCGTAAACCACAATGCAATATCACCAAGGGGTTCCACAGCAAGATGTGTCGTATTCACCGTAATGGTTTGCCCAGACATATCAACCATGGTTAGGGCTCCCGGGTACTATTTTGTAACATCCACTCCACAAATCCTAATTGTAACACCCTGTTTTACGGCCTTTAATCCTGGATTAATTATTTAATTAATTCCGTTAATAATAATTATAAAGGATTTAAATTGATTAGAATTTCCTTTAATTAATTAATGTGGTCCGCCATGGATCGTGGACCCTTGCCTAAACTGGAGTCTTAAGCCTATCAGGAATAAAGAGAGTAGACTTCTTACCAGTCGAATTCTAATTAGTAATCCTAGACCAATAAACCTATTAGGAGTAGAACATAGGTTTTTACTATTCAGACTCTAATTAGGACTTCCAACTCTATAAATAGGGGATTAGAAAGCAGTTAGAACCCTCACCACCCATAGTTGTATTACACGAAATTATTCCCCGGGAGATTCCCCACCACCAAGCCTAGGGAGATCAATCGGAGGGAAATCTTAGGGAAGAACCTTAATAGCCAAGGGAGGATTAACTTAGGCTAAGAGGTAACCCATGTCTCGACAAAACCTATTTTCCTTGCTATATCTTATTTATTGGCTCCTTTGATAACCATATGTGTAATTCTGTGCTTGAGTCTTGATAGAGCCCTTGCATAGGATTTATATTGTGTTTATTTGATAATCTTGATGTTCTTGATATTGTGATTGACTATATGTATGATCTCGTATTTTAATTATGTCTAGAGCCCTAGGGTTTATATCGTGAATTTCGTATTATGATGTTCTTGGTATATTTGGGTGGGGTTATGCATGATCGGGTGTTGAGTCTAGCCTAGGACTTGTATTTAGAACTTTGCATATAGACTCCTTGATGTTCCTGTGGTTCCGGATGCTCCTGAACCATTATATGATTAATGTTGAGTCTTGGCATGTTTAGGAATTGCGTTAGAACGTATTCGGTGTGATTCTTGATTTAATTTCATTAATTGAATCCGTGGTGTTGTCGTTATGTGTTTGAATGTGTCTGGACATGGTTTCGGGTTCCACGAGTGATCTTGGGACCGAAAAGTTGCCTATGTACTAGTGGGGGTAATGCAACCCAAACTACTGAAGATCCATTAAGAGTACCAGTTGGGCCAATCACAAGGTCTAAGTCCAAACAATTAAGACAACTCTTTATTGGTTATATTCAAAAATGGTGGAAATCCAATTCAAGCCCAATTGCAAATGATGGCGAAGAACTCAAGGCTTTTTATAATTGTTTAAGTGCTGATTTTGGTGATTAAATTAGGCCCAAATCAACCCTATTATTTTTGGTCATCATTAATTTAAATTGTTTGGCATAAAAGAGAAAACACTAGTTGTATTTAGAAAGGATTCCTTAAATCCTTTTCTAAATAAAACTCTATTTACTTGTTTTCTAGATTAGGTTTAGGACTCTTTTTCCCATTGTATTTAGATTACAATGCTGCCCTATACCTATAAATAGGGCACATCCATATCAGTTTTGGGTAGACTTTTAATTCAATAAAATTCTTAAGTTTTTCTTTACACTTGTGTAAGAAACCTTATAGCTAATTGTGGACTCAATTAGTGACTAGTCGTGGACTCGACTAGCAAATTGATTCGTGGACTCGAATCAATCTTACTTTCTTCAACCTTAGATTTAGGTTCGTGGACTCGTTCTTGAATCGAAGGAAACTAGATCCGACTCTAGTTGATTGAAGATTGCATCATCGAGGTACTTGAAGCTACAATGGGATTCTTCCAAGTCTTTGAGGATTCGAGACAAAGGGTTTCTCGTGAGGTTTAAGGTATTTCGATTCATCTCTATCTTTACATTGAGAGCAATTCTTGGGACAATACTCATCTTATTTGAATCTTGGACTAGATTCATATCAATTTGGTATTCAGAGCCTAGGTTTGTCTCGTTATCATTGGAAATTTGGTTTCTTTGGTTCCCTAGGTTTATCTCGTTCTTATCTTACATACTACATTTATTCGTGTCTTATTCATTAAAAAAACCCCAAAAAAAATTTTCTTTTGCATTCTTGATTGTGTTCTTGAATCTTGATACATGTTCTCCAGTTTCTTGAAAAACAATCCCGAAAGTGTTTTCCCTTTTTCCCGTCCAATATCAATGAGACCTCACACCTCCTAAGCACCATATTACCACATATTCTGTCAAGAAAACAACCCCATCTTACCCTTACCTATATCCAAAGCGCATTTACGCGCAATCACGTCTCAATAACACCCTGTCCAGATTTTCGCGAGCTGTGACCAGTTTCAAAGAATTACCTATATCTCGAGATCCACTGGTTATTTTTATCTGAAATTTGGATATGTTGTAGATCGCTTCTGGGGCGTTCTTTTGATATATTATACACTGTCTAATTCCTTCTGGTTAGTGAGATATTGACCTTCAAAGCCAGGGAATTGTTTCTGTTTTTCTAGGCGATTCTTGAAATTCTTGATTCTGTTTTGAAGGGGTTGTGTGGATCCTCTTGGTCCGAAATTTTTGTTGATATTTACAGTGGTTATTTGGAGGTTTCCTTTTTTTTTAAAAAAAAAAAAAAAAAGAGAAAGCAAAAGAAGAAGAAGAAGAATAAGGTTGGGGAAAGAATAAGGTTGGTAGGAGAATCTTGGTGGGAAAAGGAAGGGGAAAAGTATAAGGTTGGAAGGAGTTCTTGATAGATTCCTAATTGGCTGTGGTACACGTGAACCCCTTTTATATTCTATTTGTCTCTATCTTTTGATATTGGTCTTGCATATCTTTCTGCCATACTTCCTTCTTTGGTTTCCTTTTTCTTTCAAACCTTATTTAGTTTCTTTGCTCGTATTGTCCTTTTTCTTTGCTTCTTGCTCTCAATTTTATTACCGATCTTGCGATACACCCTTACCCTCAAAGGCTTGTGAAGTTTTCCAAGGTACGTTTTCTTGAACTTTGAGGTTGAATCCATATCAACTTGAGTACCGGACTAGAATTTTCCTTTTTGGAAAAAGGCTGGTGAGAGTATCTGCCACCTTGAGCGATACACGAGTGGAGTGTGTGTTTGTAAGAGTGTGTAGTGCACCCCCAGAGCTATATAATCCACCTCTTACCTGCGAGCTGAGAATAAGTGAGGGAGCGAGCCAACTTTTTTGGTTTCACTAACGTGTCTACTCACACATCTTTTTGTTTAGAATTTTTTTTTTCCTCTACAGATGGATGAACAAGTTCCAAACCCACCCCAGACATTGGAAGAAAAAATAGATGCTCTAACCTTCGCCATGGACGGGTTACTCACACGAATGACTAATCTGGAGCAACGCTCACAGCAAGTGCAACCACCACACAATGATGAGCGACAACTGCCACCAGCAGGGAGAGTGGATCCTAGATGTCAAAGGATCCAACAGCCTAATGAGGAGTTAGGAAACATTAAA